TTCAGAGAGATGTGCCTGCTCATGTTTCATGGGATTTGGTTTTATGCTGCAGCTTTTCTCTGAGCCCTCATAATTGCACTCTTTCTGCTAGCTGTTGGTTTTTGTGAAACTTGTAGAAACTTTGTTCCTCTTGGGTTTTTGTTTCCCTGTCAGACTGGGAGAAAATTGGCCAATGCGTAAAAGCAAGAAGTAATTTGTTGGGTATGGAGAGACAGGCACACTGCAGGCAGACAGTTTGCAGGCCCATGAGAAGAGAAGCAAATATTAGTTTGGTCTCTGTGTGTTCCTGTTGCTCTGTGAAGTGTACAGACAACTGAGGTATTCTCCTGCTCATTTAAGCAGAGCTGTGCCTCCACACAGTTCTCAATGTGGGGCTGCAGGTATGTCCAATGGGATGCTGGTCTGGAGATGAATGAATAAGCTTTAGAAAAAGCTCCTTCTCCACATGTAGACAGGGAGAGTCACAAGTGCAGATGGTAAACCCCTTGACAGGAGAGTTGGTGGCACATGTACACTCCAGGAGGTTGTCTTGGCCCTCTCAGTCATCCATTTGCAACTCTTTTGCTCCTGAGAGACAGATACATGTTTTATAGCCTGTCTCCACAGCTGAGTAGTTGAGACTGAGCAAACAAACAAACAAACCAACCCTCCTTTCTCTATCTGACAGAGCCCTGAGATGGAAACCAGTTGAGAACTCCTCTAAAAGCTATTCACATGGCATTCTCTCTGCCTCTCCACACCTCTGCTTCATATCCCTGGGATTGAGCAAGTCATCACAATACTGAAGTCAGGCCTGTTGGTTGGAACACTGCAGCAATGGTTTAAACACATCACAGCCTATCAAGGGAGTGCAGTGGAATCAAGAAAGTGATGTTTTTTTCCCTCCCAACTGTTTATAACAGAATATGATTATGGGAAAATTTGCAGTATCCCAATGAAGCTTATAAAACTTGCCTTTCCAAAGGGAATTTGTAGAATTTGGTGCCACAATGAATCATAGAGTGGTTTGGGTTTGAAGGGGACCTTAAAGATGATCTAGTTCACTCCTCCAGCCATAGGCAGGAACACCAAGCAAATAAGAAGAAAAAGAAGCAGCAGAAGAGCAGAATTGCCACAAGTCAAATTCATGCTGCTTCCAGTTGAGTGCCTTCAGGTACAGGAGCAAATGTCTGAAGCAGCCTAGACCCTCAAGGTCATAATTAGAAACATGGCCAAAACCATGTCGTTCCAGACATGTGGGACAAAATGCACAGACTGAGCTTCTACATGATTGTTATATATGGCCAGAGTCCATTCCACATTGAAACAGTTTCTGTGCTACCAGCACACCAACACTTTTATGTATACATGTGTGTGGTTTTAAGCAATATGCAAATACCAGCTTGAGACTGAAGGCAGTATCAACCTTCCAAGGTGGTGAGACTCCAGTGATGACTTCAATGGAGCAATCCAGAGGAGAATCAGCTAGGCAGGATCAGTTTGCTATAAAAGAATTAACCAAAGTTAAAGCAGGCATTTGGGGTGTGACTCATGGAAAGGGTGTTTGATATCACTGAATCTTTTGCCA